CTTCCTTCATGCCCGTCCTGTCCCCTCCTTCCTCCTTTTCCCCTGGACCCTTGCTGTCTACTCTCGACGCATCTCCACTCAGAGCATTTCTCCCACGGGTCCCGGCTTCCGTCGGCCTTTAAGTACACTCAACCCCCCTCCCTCCCTCCTTCCCTCCTCCCTTCCTCCCCCTCCATCCCCCCAGCTGTCGTGCCTGCCTGCACGCCCCGCACGACCCCACCGCCGGCGACGCTTGCACCTCCCTCGAGTGCAGCGTATACTACGAGAAAGGGAGGGTGCTGGGGAAATTGGAAGGAGACATTGAGGATCTCTTGAGGTGGGAGGGAGGGAGAGGAGGCGGCCAGGCGCGGCAGGCTGGGGTGTTGAACCAGGGAGGAAGGGCGAATGCCAGGACGAGGGAGGGCGTTAGAGAGGGGAGGCGCGTGGAGAGAGGGCCGGCCGAGGTGATTGTTTTGGAAGAAGATTGGAGGGGGGCAGGGAGGGAGGGGGGGGGGGGAGGGGGGAAGATGGCGGGGAAGGAGAGAGAGAGAAGACAGAAATATTTGCAAAACAAGCTGTAAATACGCAGATAAGATAAGTTTGTCAATGGTCCGTATTCATGGGCCGTTACAAGAAGAAAAGACCGCTACGTAAACGGAAGACCGTTAATGGCACCACCAAACAGTATCAAAAAAGCAACCATGGCACAGCGAGATCATCCGATCATCCTCCAGTACACGTTTGTCGACGCCTTTTTTCCCTCCATTCCCCTCCCTCCCTCCCTTCCTCCCTCCCTCCCTCCCCTGGTCCTGTATCTGTTCTACGACATCCCCTGCGCCGCCCGTTGCGCTTGCCGTGCTTGGCTCGTCTGGCTCATCACCATCAGTTTCTTTTGAAAGTACCCGGACACCATGCGCAGAGACTTCTCCTTCTGCGTCAGGACCTGGAAAGGAAAGAGGGAGAGCCGGAAGGAGGGAAGGAGGGGTGACGAAGGGGGGTGAGGGGAAGGGAGGGCAGGTACGACAGAGAAAAGAAAAGGAGACAGAGAAGGAGAGGGAGGGAAGGAAGGAGGGAAGAAGGGCGGGAGGGAGGGAAATGGAGCTTTCGTCCTACCTGTGCGACGGACTCCGCATTTGTGTTGATGACGGCAATCTTTTTCTCCAGGTATTCTTTCGCCTTAGGTAGTGTCTTTTCGATGTAGTAGCCGGTGCCCACGTCCACAAGGACCTGTAGGTGTTAAGGTAGGTTCAAGCGCATGCGTGTGAAGGGGGGAAGAAAACGGGCAAGCACGAGCAGATGGAAACAAAAAAAAGGACGCCAAAGATGTACATAGAGGGGAAATAAGGCAAGTAAAAGACAAAATCGACAGCAACCAAACAGCTTCCCTCTCCCTTTCGAGGAGTTCTCCGTGCGCGACCCCATGACCTCTCATCCCCGGTACTGTCATGGAATACGAAGAGAGGTATACGGTGGCTTTGGCGACGCGTGCCCCCCCCCTTCCCCCCTCCCTCCCTCCCCCGCCAATGTCCTACCTTGTCCGCGTCGCTTATAGTGCCAGGGACGTACAGAGATTGAGTTAAGGGAACAAGAATCTCGTCACCTAGGGCGAGCGGCAGGAGGGGAATGAGAGGGAGGACGACAGAAGCTGAAGCGAAAGGCCACGCCCGACCAAGAGAGAACGGGTAACCCAATCGCGGACCAGCAGCTGCTTTGTGCATGTTCCGTCTCATTCAGTATTACTCACCGTTCTTTGTAGGTGCTAGTTCGTTGACAGAGGTCCGGCAGCCGTTCAGCCGGGATTGGGCTTCGCGCAGTGAGGCGTAGTGCCGCGTAATGGTCTCCAGCTCCTGAGGAAAAGGAGGTGGGGTTCATGGTATATTCGAGAAAATGTTAGCATGTATATTACGATGCGATGAAAAATGCGGGCTCGGATGATGTGTGAACATATGAGGGAAGTGGGTTTAGCAGCATGAAGTAGTCGTTCTCGCGTAACCCTCTCCACGTCCAACACTCCCTTGTATACCTCTCCCAGTTGCGTTTTCAGCTGGTTCAGCTGCTCTATTGATAGTTTGCTCAAGTCGATTTCTCGTTCACCCACCACTGAAGCCATTATGGAAGCTTGATGTTGCTGTGGGAAGGAGGTTATTGGTACAAAGAGTCAGCTACCCGTGCCCGGTTATAAATGCCTTTACATGAAGCTCTTCGACACCAAGTGCGAAAAATTCATTGCTACAACGGTGTGTGTGAAAAGATCTAAGGATTTAAGAACCTTCTGTCCAGCATCGACGTTGAGAGAGGGGAAAAAAGGCCTCGAGAAAAAAGAAAGACTTTGGAAAAATCGGGAGGGGGGTGCATGTGAAGGAAAAAAAGCATGCGCATATAATCTCCATCAAAAGGCTCATCCACGTCACTTCTCCTCATTCTGAGAATGATGCGTACATATGGACGGATCGACCACACTAGACACGCCGGCCTAAGGTTTCCTTGCGTGTTTTGGGGGAGTTTATTATCTCCAAATGCTTTCTGGCGCGAAGCTTGCCCCCGAACCCGAAACAGAAAAAGCGAGCCATGACGTTGCCGTACACCAGACCTTGGACACATTTCAAGCGAAAAACCATGGTGCCTTCCCCCTTTGAAGGTGATGCAGGGGAACGAAAGGCTCAAGACGGTTGGCAGGACGTGAAATAGGTAGTGTGGCAGCGTCGAATTTCTGTGAAAAAGGATGGTTGGCATGCCTTTGGTTTACAACGGGCTTGGACCAACCACGCATGTGGTGGGGTAGTCAGTCTTGTCCCTTTTATGTCGTAGACAATTCATTTTTTGGTACCTTTTCTATGTGTCATTTTTACAGTCTCAGTGTAGTGCGTATTGTTGTTGGCAGAGGCTGCCATCTTTTCCATGATACACCCCTTTCATGGACGTCTAAGCTACATGCGTTTTCCCGTTCCCCGCCACAATTTCCTCTAACCACCAAAGCCTAGCAAGGAACCAGTCAAACTAAATTGAAAGGATGGCGCGTCACGCTCCCTTCACTGTCTTAACCTTCGTCTGCCTCGTGCTAATGGCCCTCTCCTCCGTCGCCTTCATGCCTGTGCGCCCTGCCCTTTCTTTGAGTAAAATGCGCGCTGCAACACTCTCGGGACCTTCCTCCCGCAGCCCTAGCGGCCGCTCCAAGGGACTGACAGCAATGTCTGGGAAATACTGGGAGGGAGAATGGGTGTGCGCGGACTGTGGGTACATTTACAACGAAGCGGTACGTTGGGTTGGGGGAAGAGAGAGAGGGAGGGACCGTCCGACTCCGCCCATGGCATACTTCTTGTCCTTGATGGAAACCTTTTCATTGCTACTTGAGCCTTCGCCTTTGCTTACACTCTTGCTCCCTCATCAATGCCTGCGCCTCATTCGACCAGGATTGCGGCGGGATGCGTTTCGAAGACCAAAAGACGGGCTTCAAATGCCCGCAATGCTCGGCTCCCCGTCGGCGGTTCGCGAAAAAAGTCGGGGACAAAATCGGGGTCACCAACGACGGAGGAGACGCGCCCATCCTCGTCTTCTCCATCGTGGGAGGCCTGGCGGTGATCGGCTTTGGCATCTACGCGGCCCTTTCCGGGGTAGGTGGATCGCGAAGCACAAGGGAGGACGTGGCTGTTTGTTTATTTTATTTTGTTTTTTTGGTTGGATTATTTTTTTCCTCGTTACAGGCCACGAGGGTATGAAGATTCCCCCGTTGATCGGGGTAACTTATCATCGTGCCTTCCTTTCCTCGCGTGCTGGATTGTGATCGGACCGGGTGACTTCCCACAATGTACCCCAGGACGCGTCAGACTCACCGCCACACTTCCCTCTCCCCTTCTCACTCTCGCAGATTTAAATTTAAACGCACATTTAAATTCAAAAAGAGCGTTACGGAGGCCTCCTGCAGGCATTTACAAATCCCTCTGGAAGGAGAAAGGACAGGGTTCAACTCGAGGGGGGCGGCCGTGGCAGGCGAGAAAAATGGCGCGAACGCACGCACGCCGTCTTGAATGAGAGGGTATGGAGGCATCACATCCATTGCATTGGATGTGGTGAGATTGAAAAGATTGAAAAGGATGCCATAGCAGGGCTCCAGATAGAAGAAGAGTGGGAGTCTGTGCAGTTGAAAACGGGTCATGTTGGAGAGGGGGGGACCAGGAGAAGGCTTCTTCAGAGAAATCTGAGAGGAGGAAAAAAAGAAAACACAAACCACATGACATAGGTCCTCAAACCGCACGGGGTTGTGTCCGCGGTATTCTCGCTTTCCTGCCCTTTCTTTTTCAGGAACGCGCTGCTCCAGGTGGACTCCCCCCCCAGACTCACTCCTCCGCCGACACCTGACTACTGTCCTCATGCATCAATGAGGCATGTCACGACACTCAACCATTGAAAATTCCTCATTTCCTGCTCATACACCAGCTTCCCTCCCCTCCCTCCCTCCCCTTCCCCTCCCCTCCCTCCCCTCCCTCCCTCCCTCCCTCCCTCCCTCCCTCCC